GTAGGTGTAAAGCAACAACCATTCATGCAGTTAATGACCTGAGTGCTTCAAGTCCTGTGCAAAAAACGCATGACCGCACAGGCCCGCCCAGTGCGTTTCAGCCTGGGTCCTTTATGCGAAATTTACGATGATTTACGGTACTGAGTGCAGAAGGCAGGTGTGAAGTAACAACCACTCATACAATAAACGGCCTAACTACTTCAAGTTTGGTGTAAAAACGCATAACCGCACCGTAAGCTTGGTGCGTTCCAGCCTGGTCTTTTTTTTTTTTTTTTGAGAGAAACTTATTACTGACACATGCCTGAGAACCAAAACCGTTTTCAGCCTGCTTTTAGCATTGTCCGAAAGGTAATACCGTCAACAGCTTTGCCAGCAACTCATACTTGCTGGCAAAGCATTGTCACTACAAGCACCCCCGGCTTTACAAATGCACTGGCATATATGGTTTTCTGTTATTTAAAATAATACATCCGCTCGAAATTTGGTTTATTGGAAGCCACAGTTTAACATTTGTATCCCACTGTATGAAAGTTAGAAATCACAGTTTTTTAGGCATTCTTCACGGTAATGGTGGGACACCTAAAGCAGCATACGACAGTAGATGCAGAAGCAGAGAAAGCTTGGCTGCAGATCGCCAAAGAATTTTCGGATGAATGTCTCAAGCATACCGTTGCTCTCAACTTGCCAAATTGAGCATTTCTGCAACAAAATTTCATAAGCCATTTACTGCACTTTTAAACAAATTTCAAAAAAATCTGGGTTTTGTACTTAATAAATCATATTTGGTCAGAATGTGCCGTTGCTGCATTCTTGGCTTTTGGGGTTACCAAGATGCCGGGACAACTAGCTTAAGGATCCGGTGTTAGTGATGTTACTGGGATGCGACCGTACGCTGGGCGCAGCTCTGCCAACTCATCAGTGCAGAGATTGATCTCTTAAATTAGTAATCATCGCCTTTTCGGTGCATGTGGATCACCTTTTCGAAGACAGTCCGAGTGTTCGTTTGCTTCCTCGTAAATGCTCTGGCTTGCGGCGTGCTAGCTGTTAATAAATAGAAACGCGCACCACACTAGCCGGTGCGATCATGCGTTTTGTGCAATTCCACCCACCGAACGATTGTCTACTAATGATTTTCACTGCATTGTATTTTAATCTGTGCAAAAATAGCTGAAACTTTGAAAAATAGAAATTTCACGCACCGACGCATGAAAGCTGGATTTGAAACCTTGGAGGGCAAATATCCTTCCGTGGTTCCTGAAATAATAATTTACCCGTAAAAATTTTCACTCCCGTTAGATGATATGCGAGAGCGCGGGAACGCTGAATTTAAATTTACGGGGTCGCACGTGGGTGGGGAACGTTTCCCTAAATTTTCAGCTTCCTAACTTTTGTGGTTCCCGAGTTGAAAGTTGCGGACACACACAGATAACCCCATGACAGTATGCGTTTTGTACTGCTGTTACACAGTAAAAAATGCACAATAAAACGAGTAGCACGTCCCACCTATCGGGACTGGCTTTCCGCGTAATACCGCACAAATCCTTTTGTTTGTTCAAAACCAAGTCTGCTTTTGTCTCATAAATTTGCTGTAACAACCCCGACAGCAACTTGCAGGATTTTAAATACTTCATGAAAACACCATCTTTTGAATCTCTTGAATGCATTTAGTAAGTGTTCGTCATGTTAGCTTTCAAATTAGTTTAGTTTAAGGGCCAAATCAAATCCTTTGACCTCAGCAGCTGAGACTGTGCAAGTCTGTCAAACACCAGAGTACCATTGTTCTAGCTTTCAGTTGTGCCGTGGTGCAGTGCAAGCGGAAGATTGATTTAAGTGATTGATTTAAGATTGATCTAAGAGGTGGAGAGTTCCGGGATGGAGTTACTTTGTGGAAGCGTCTTGCTCCTAATCATTTATTAGTAAAATATCAGCAGGACGATGCGTATTGTGAAATTTCATGGCATTGCCATTTCATCGAAACAATTAGCAAAAAGCAACCCCGAATGCTTTTTAAAGCATTATACGGTTTCTTCAGGAACAATAAGCAATCGCTGTTGGGCTGTGGTCTGGGTGACGTTAAATGCTGAAATTTCATTACCACTTCTCGTCTCCTGCACGTTTTCCAGTTCCTCATCTTAGATCAAAAACTGCAAAAGTGCAGCAACAGAAGCACACTCGCAGAAAAAGCCTTTTAAAAAGCAGACTGATTTTTAAACTTCTTCGAGACAGCACAGCAGCCAGTTTTTGACGAACGCTCATCAAAAAGTGAGGACGAATGCAGCTCAGCTTGACCTTTGAAATGCTGAAACTCTGCGCTTGCAGAAAAACGCTAAAAAGCACATCCCACATTCTTTATCATCCTGTAAAAAAATTTTGTACTTTTGCCATCTAAAACAGCTATTAGAAAAGTTACCAGCTTTCCTGACCATGCGAAATTGTGTACACGCGCTATATGACAGTTGATCAGAGTGTTATTACAGCCTTTAAACCACATAAAAAACAAGAACTAACCAGTACTAATGCTGCAAGACCAGAGGTAATGAAAATATGTCACAACAAATAAAAATCATCATTCGATAGGATTTTCCGCTGAGAACTCAAAGTGCTGGCTTGAATGTACCGCAGTGAAGAACCCAGGCTGGAACGCACCGGGCGGACCCGTGCGATCATGCGTTTTTACGTAGGACTTGAGGTACTCAGATCATTAATAGCACGAGTGGCTGTTGCTTTACACCTACCTTTTGCGGTCACTACAAATCACATAAACTTTGCATGAAGTAAATATGCAATTTCCATTTAACGGTATTTCTTTAAAAGTAACCTAGCTGTTCAGTGAGAAATTTTTCCCCCAAAAGTTTTAAGTGCCCATACGTAAGAATCACGCACACCTGAAGGCTGAATTTGAAATACTTAAGTTGTCCTTGGACAGGGAACATTGCTCCAAAATTTCAGCTTTCTAGCTTTTCTGGTTCCCGAGTTAGTAATTTTCCCGCAGAAGATTTCATACGCCCTTACGTGAGTACAACGCATAGATGGTGGCTGAATTTGAAATATTTGAGTTGCACTTGGACGGGGAACAATCCCCCAAAATTTCAGCTTTCCAGCTTTTCTGGTTACCAAGTTAACAATTCTTCTGCCAAATCTTTCACGTGCTCTTACTTAAGAACCACGTATACCTGATGGCTGGATTTGAAGTATTTAAGTTGTGCTTGGGCAAGGAACATTTTCCCATAATTTCTGCCTTCTAGCTTTCCTGGTTCCCGAGTTAACAATTTTTCCGCTAAAAATTTCATGCGCCCTTACGTGATTACCATACATACCTGGAGGCTGAATTTGAAATCTTTAGCTAACACATGCACAGGGAATATCCCTACAAAATTTCAGCCCCTTGACTTCTTTGGTTTCCGAGATCGCTTTCTCGCCAAAAAATTTGCATATTTTTAATGCGTCCGTAAACGACATCCAGGCGTCCGGGGGAGATGAAGTTAAAGCGGGAGGGTCGCGGATGGTATGGGCACATACTCCTAAAGTTTCAGCTTTCTAGTTTTTCTGGATCTCGAGTTGAAAATGGGTGACAAAAAGTGCGAA